GAAAGGAAAAAAAAAAACACAGAAACAGAAACCAAACAAGGAAAAAAAAAAAAAAAAAAAAAAACCCTGCCTCTCTGCACCTTCTGTGATTTCACAGCAAAGATGAGTTCCAATCCATCCCATTTCCATTCTAGTCCTGTAAGCCCCACTGGTTTGGGAAAACTGTTCCTGACAGAGGGAAGAAAACAGATGGGAACTTGCCTGCATTTTGCTGAGGTGCAGAAGAGATCTTTCCCAGAATTTCCTCCTGGCAAAAGCAGATCTTTCAATTTACATAAAAGTGACTGTGTTTTTCCTTTTACACGTACCCTTTTGATTTACATTCTTCCTTATTGACTCACTTCTTCCTGGCGTGTTAAAAATCACTCCTCCAATTCTAGAATGACTAAGACTCCTCTCTGGCTCTTTTTCAAGCCATGCTTCTTCCTGACCACACTCTTTCTCGTCAAAGGCTGCTTCACTGTCATGACTGGCCTAGAGAATGGGCTCCTGCAGAGGTGGTCTCTGTGGACCTATTCTCTCTGCATATGGGGGAAGTAGAAACTTACTTATTGCACAAGCCCCTGTATGGCATGTTAGTACCTAAAATATTTTAAATATTATTTTTGTTAAATAAATCAAATATATTAAAAACAGCACTCTAGATAGAAGAATGTCAACTTTAAGAATATAAAGAATGAGGATGATTTAGGGAAGACTTACAAACAAAATAAATGCAATAAGCTTTTGTATAGTTAAATTGATGGAGAACACGGAACTCAATAATAAAAGGACCATAGGTTTGAAATGAGATCGAACTACCTTTCATGTGAACAAAAGTTCCATAACCTATTAGCTCTGTGACCTTTGACTTAACACTTAACCTTTTAGAGTCTCAGGTGTCTTGTTGCGATTGTCCCCATCTGTAAAATGGTGATATCTACATTATAAGGCAGCTGTTGTGAGAATTAAAATGCAGTAATTCCTGACACACTGAACAACTTATGTGCATTAAGCAGGGAACGATGTCTTCTCACTTTGTTTTTTCTCATGCTAAACACAGCAGCCACTGGCAGACATGCAAAAGATACACAATGAATGACTGAACAAGAGCAGTGGTGCAAATAACCTAGAATATCTGATAACCGGAGTGAATGGTATTCCTGGTGGTGGAAGTTTCCATGTGGCTTTCCATGGAATGAAATTTACATGATTCATGGTTAGCCATTATTTGCAATTAGATTGCACTGCTTGGGAATACAGAGGTGGAGAAGAAGGCCACTGGAGACCTTGCTGAACAATTAAGGGGCAACTGGCGCAGGACTAACAACCCTTATAAAAATTAAATTGAAGTCAATAACAATGCCAATCATTTTACATGTATTCTCTTTTTAAATTTTTAACCCTAGAATCAGTGGATCCAGGCTAACACCTACGGAATATTATACTGTAGTTAGAGCTTTTCTTTTGGCATATTCAAATAAAGTATTTGTATCTTATGGGGCATTTTGGCCCACTTTGGGATTTTGATTCTTTTCTCCACAAAATCTTTAATCTCAGAGTATGAAAAGAACCCTAAAATCCAGAATTGAGCAAAGATTAATTTCAGTGGCAGCTTCAATTTATGTCTAACTCCCATGGTTTTTGTAACAGGCTTTCACTCACTTAAAACCCTATAGTGGGACTATCATTGAGCTAAAACTCGGAGATTTTTTATTTAATGAAAATAGTAACCCAAAGAATAATATAAACATTACCAGTGATTAGGAAAGTAATTGTTTTGAAAACAAAATTTATGGGAAAGTAATTGTTTTGAAAACAAAATTATGGGTTATTATCGGTATTATTTTTAATCTGACTTGCTGTGGGTTGCATATAACCAAAAATCACTCATAAATATTTTAAAGCCATATACTTTGAAGACAGTCGATTAAATCTAAATGATACACTTGTTTTAAAATGACATATTTAAGCCTTCAGCTACAAGGGCTCTTTAAACCTTAGAATGGCATCATGTTTTACTGGATCAATTATTGCACCAGAGAATGAATATGAACCATGCTTAATTTTATTAATCTATTTATAGTGCTGCTTATTGTCTGAATCATCAAAATATTTATGGCTTTTAAGGAACCTAATGTTTTATTGTTCTTTTGTTTGCAATAATTTAAGAAATTCATATCATATGTCACTTGTAAATGCCTACTATGAGTGGGAAAAGTAATTAAAGACTGTGATGACAAATATTTCCACTCCTGATAGAATAAACCCAATGGATTTAAGCAATTTAACAAATAATTTAGCTTGTAATTTTGTAGCAATAAATATAATGAAGAGAATCAGATTATATTTTTTAAAAGAAAACAGAACAAACATGTTTTTATTTAATTAAATTGATTCATTAGCTATATTATCATGACTAGCACACTAAGGAAAGTAATTGTTAAATAATTAAATATAGAGGCACTCCGTAGTACCATATTGCATTGTTTTAATCGAAGTATCAGCTCCAATAATGTAGATACCAATGTGTTAAGGACAAGGAAAGCCAAATAGGTTTAGGGGATAGAGATGGTGGAAAGCATAGAAGTAGGTAAAGGGTAGAGATGATACAGTGGTTAAGGCTGAGCTAGGGTTCTGAAAGCAAGTCCAAAAGGTGGGTAAGATATGGGGAAAGAAAAGGGGGGAGGTTTATAATACAATATTAAAAGAAAATGAGCTTTGGAGTCCAACACGCATTGGTTCAAATCTCAGTTCCACTGATTATTTACAATATGACATCAGAGACTTATTGAGCCTGTTTTCTCATTTGTGAAATGTGGATACTAATGTTTGCCTCTTATGGTTAGTTTAGGTATTAAGATAGATAACTTGCATAAAACATGAACACAATACTTACTAAATGACACTTTTTTGTGACCTTGACACAGCATTCCATATTTATTTCATGTGTTCTTACCATGAAGGATTATCTTTCAATTAGTTCCCACTCTTCAGGAACTTACATTTTAAAACACAAGAGAATGTGTACACAAACAATGACTATAGCATGAAAAATAGGAATAATGAACTCAGCTTGGATAGGCAAAAGGAACTGCACAGAGAAGGAGATATTTAATCCTTATATATCCTATTATTGACTGTCCAAGGTAAGCATCTGTCTTAGTCTGCTCAGGTTGCCATAAACAAAATACCACAGACTAGGTGGTGTAAGTACCAGACATTTTTCTCATATTTCTAGAGACTGGAAATCTGAGATCGGAGTGCCTGCATGCTCAGGTCCTAGTGAGAGATCTCTTTCTGGCTTGCAGATGGACACCTTCTCACTGTGTTCTCACACAGTATTCCCTCAGTTCGTAGAGTGAAGAGAAAGAAAGATCTCTTTCTCTTAGAAAGCCACCAATCCCATCAGGTCAGGACTTCAGCATTTTAACCTCATTTAACTGTAATTACCACCTACAATCCCCATCTCCAAATAAAGTCCCATTGGGAACTTGGGCTTCAATATATGAATGTGCGGGGGGCACAATTCAGTTTATAGCATCATCTAGTCAGAGGCAGGCGCCAAAGCTTTAGGATTAAGGGACAATGGATGCAGAATCCATGGAGGGAGTCTGAGCAAAAGAAATCAGAAGCCTGGACAAGTAGTCTTGTCCACTGGTTATTCTTTACTAGAATTGGAATTCTTCACAATAAGGTAGCAATTTTTCTCCAACTGGGGAAATTTTGCATATTTCCAATTTTTTAGGGAAAAAGTCTCCAAGTGTGGTTATCTGGGGTCATGTGGGAGAGCTCTGAGGGAGTACACAGTTGGATAAATAATGATGGTATAGAAAGGGATGATAGAGAAACAGGAAGAACTGCGATCTCATCCATCTTTGATTTTTCCATGGGGCCTGGTACACTCAGCAGGTGTTCAATACATGTCAGTTTAATCAACTTGATAGGAAAATCCAAATACCTAAAAATAAACTTTAGTTTTTGCCCCATTGGTGACAGATAGTATCTTCTTTTCAGAAAAGAAATAAAATTTCTGCTTACTGTTTCAGGAAAGTTTAGGTATTTGTTAAAATAGCTGACTTATCTCTTCTACAGCAGCTTATATATGTTCAACTCATTGAAGACTGGGTATAATGACAGTGCCTTGGTCTAAATTCTATTTCCACTACCTCTTCCATATGCATGAGAAGACTGCATTGTGCAGTCTTCCTTACAGGTAAATTGGATCCATGCAACCAAATACTGGCCCATGGGATATGGGCAGGAGTGATAAAAGCCACTTCCAGGCCTGCCTCTTAAATACACCTTGTGTGGCTCTGAACCTCTCTCTTCACTGCTGCAGGTGGCATGCTGTCTTGGAGACCACTCATTCCATGTTGTGAAGTTGTAAGACTGAAGGGGCTCATTTAACCTGCATTGGCTTTGCACACGTAAGGAGATTTTTATTGTGTTAAAGACATTTAGATATCAAGTATAGGTTAGTCTATTCTGACTAATACATTACCCTTTACATGAGTGAGGACATTTATTTTATCTTTTACTTACTTTTATTTATTTTCAAAATAGCTCTTCTCAACCTGCTAAATTGATTAATGAATCCTAGGGGGCTATGATCTGTAGTTTGAAAAACACATTTTAGAGACTGCTAGAGTTCAGATAAAGTAATGAAATGCTTGCCATGAAAACAGATGGAATGAATCAGATTCCAAAAGACTCTGGGGCTCTGGTTCAGACTAATCACAATGAGATGGTTCTGCTCTCTTCTTAGATAGTTAATATCTCACCCTTCTCCTCATTGATTGGTAACAATGGGCACTAACTCCAGATACTTGTCTTTTTCAAAATGCAGCAAATATACTATTCAAACATAAATATTAATAATTCAATTCATAGAAAGAACAAAGAAATGAGAGATCAATTTTTAAATGACTGTGTTTCTTTTCTTCTGGATCTTTGATGTCACAGACTGTCTTGTCCTGTTTTATTTTCATGCACTGTCTTCTTCAGTCTAGGTTTCCTACCTTTCAATTCATATCTGTGTCTTCCTGGAGCAGTATGGCTGTGGTGCATCCCCAGGAACTATGATCTGTCCAGTTGCTCTTCCTCCTTGAGGTTTGAATCTTTTGAGATAAACTCAAAGCCAGTTAGATATTGACCTTTCAATTAACTCAAATAGTTAAGATCCTAGTAAGAGAGGTTATTGTTTATTATTTATTTTTAAGAAATATGTTACTCAAGCAAGGGGGTATTGAGCTTAAAGAGAGCAGATCTCTTTTAAAGAGAGCAGATCTCTATCACTTTTGAAACTGTAGGAAGTCTGGATACCCTAATGTATTTCAGGTTTAGATCTGATCTGTCTAAGCCCAACTTTCCATCTTTGGGTTTCAAATTATTTTAAACTTTTAGGAGACTTTTTATCTACCCTGTCTCTACTTGAACAATGAGAAACGCTTGATAACAAGGAGCCAAGCGAGCTTTCTGCTGATAAGAAGTTACGTTAAATTCTTTTTTGCATTAAAACATCTAGATGTTTCAACATAACATAGCAAAAGAAAATGTAAGACACATTTAGAACTAGTTTCTTCATAGGTTCAAATCCTCTCATGTTACTTAGTATGGGGGAAAACGATTAGTAAATGTTTCAGTAAATGTGGTCATGCTCTTATATGAAGATTCCATAATCTGTGGACTTGCAGAGCAGGAATATTAAAGTTCTTACAGTTTGAAAGTATATTAAATTCACTAAGTGTCAGATAATGAGCAAGAGGTACAAATAATATCATAATCAAATGTGCTGCTGTCATTTACAACAGGGTAGAGTCTACTAAGAGTGGAAATGATAAATTTATATCACAGTTTTAAGAACAGAAAAACCATCAGAAATCATGGTGAAATTTAAAGTGCCATCTTTAGGGAATGTATTTGATTCACAATAAATAAATTTCAACTACTAGTTTCTACCTTGATTTTGAAGAATGATTAGTATTCAAGACCACAGAAAATTGACATGAACTAGAAACAAAGATAACAGGTTGTTGGAGCCATGTTAGTTCTTGACATTTGCCAAGAAGTGGGAAGTATCAGAATTATAAAGAAGTGGGAATCATCTGAAGCACACACAAAAAAAACCCTGGAAGTTTATGGTGTTTCCATTGTGGAGAGCAAATGGGGGAAAGAATCAAAGGTTCTTGAAGCCATGCCAAAAGAATTAGGCATTTCTCCTTTTACTTAAATAGGAAACCATCAAAGAACTTTTAAAACAGTGTAGAGGCCTGATATGGTTTTTGCTGTGTCCCCACCCAAATCTCATCTTGAATTGTAGCTCCCATAATTCTCACATGTCATGGGAGAGACCCAGTGGGAGGTAATTGAATCATAGGGGTAGGTCTTTCCTATGCTGTTCTTGTGATAGTGAATAAGTCTAATGATATCTGATGGTTTTTTAAGGGGGAGTTCCCCTACACATGCTCTCTTCCCTGCCGCCATGTATGACCTTTGTTCCACCTTTGCCTTCTGCCATGATTGTGAGGCCTCCCCAGTCATGTGGAACTGTGAGTGAATGAAATCTCTTTCCTTTATAAATTACCCAATCTCAGGCATGTCTTTATTAGTAGGATGAAAACAGACTTAAAAGGTCTGATTAATTTAAAATTTAAATGGCAAGCAGCATTGTTAGAGATGTATTGGGTGTCTAGATAAGAGACAAGGAAGTCAGAGAGTATTATAATCCAAACTAGGGCAGGGAAGTAGAAATGAAGAGTAGTGAGTAGAAAGGATATATAAGGCAATACAAATGTAGAATTGCAGAGCTGGGGGGAACAACTGAATGGAAGAGTGAGAGAGGAGGGGAAGTCAAGAAATAATTACAGCTTCTCCTTCATTGTAACTAAATAGATGGTGGGACAATTAAAAGAACATAGTAAAGAGGAGGGTTTGGGGATAATGATAATCAGTTCAGTTTTGAATCTTTTGGGTTAAATTTTCAAGTAAGATAGATCCAATCTATAAGTCATTGAAAGCCAGGTCCAAAAGTTTAGCTTTGATAAAGTAATTAGACAAGAGCTATTGAAGAACAGAATCACAGGATAATAAAAATGGTGCTACAGTATAATTTATTGCATAACAATATATAACTTTTAGGAACAACTAGATTAAGAAGAAATCTATCTTTTCAGAAGTTAGTGATATTGGCATATTGATAACAATAGAAAAATTTAGGAAGCAACCAGAGAAGGGGAGATTAGAAATCATGTCAGGTAAAGAACACAGGTCCCCTAAACTCAGATGACAACTTTGTCTCAATAAGAGGAAGGTTCCTTCTTGAGATAAACTAAATCATATAGATAAAAAGCATGACAAGAGGACCAAATGGAAGTACTTTTATGAAAATTATAAAAAGACATCTTCTATGGGTGGATACAGTCCCAGTGTTGGGGTCCAACACTTAACACATAGAGTGTAGCCTGAATTTCAGCTCCCATGCTACTTCTTGACCCAGCTTCCATTGCAGCATGGGTGTATGGTTGGTGCTAGGGGTGACTGACTGGACATGAGTAAATGAAGACAATCATGCTGTGTTTTACTTCAAATATATAAAGAACTCTCTTGAGGAAGGAATATTCTACTTTTTCTAATGGCTTTACAAGACAGAATTACAACCAGTAGACAACTATTTTTAAATGACAGGTAAACACTTTAAGTAAATAAAACATCTCAAAAGCATGACTGATTTTTTCTTAGGAGACTGTGAATTCAGTTACTGAAAGTAATAAAATGGAGTCTGAATACCCAATTGATAAAGGTTTTATAGAGGTATTCCTTAAAAAAGTACTTTCAAGCCTGTGATTTTATGATTACTTACCAAATAAGCACTGTGGCCAGTAAATCTATGATCACAGATAAGAGCCCACTATGCAATGGAAGAGGAAGAACATTTGGGTTTTATAAAAGGAATAATTCCTCAACTACAAAGATTCAGGAAAAAAATAGAAGAACCTTGGGAAACATTTAATTTTTTACATTTGCATATCAGTATAATGTTTACTACAGTTGACTGTGATTTTACATAGCTTTAGCCTAAAAATCCTACTTGATAGATTTTTTTAGTATGAAGAATTGTGGATGAAATCCTGATTAGTCTTTGGCTAGATTATGTGCCTGCATTCCCCATATTGTCTAACGTACATAATGAGATCGCTAGTGTTGTTTTGTGCTTCAAACTCAATTGCTTTGACTGGACGTACTTTAGAGCTAGGACATCATTTTTATTTCAAAACGGAGGTCTTCAGTCAGGGCCTGACTTTGTTAATAAGTGTACAAGTATAAAGTATCTATATTTCACTGAAACAAGAAAGTAAGAATCATAAACATCAAATACCTTGTTTTCACTGAATATTAACTTGACCAACTAATTTAAAGAAAATAAACTTTTTCCATAAAAAATGTAAGTTAATAGAAAAGTTTTGTTGTTGTTTTTTTTTTTCCAAATACTTCAGCAGTAGAGAATGCTGAAAGAAAACAGAAAAATGGAAAGAGCCCACTAAGAAGGACAAAGAGGAACCTGAGCTAGCAGGTTAGTTACACAGCTAATGTTATTGCTTCTGTCTTTTCAAAAGATAAATAGAAGGTCAGGAAGATAAAGATCCTGTTTCCTGGTTCAAGAGGTTGCTAAGCATCTTGGAACACACTCTGCCTTCCAAACCATAGGCCTCACTGAAGATTAGAAACAGTTTCTGACAGATCAGAGTATCTTAGAGTTGGTGTTTTTAACTAAGTAGAACATTGGGTCTAGCAATTATGTATACAAATACCTATTTCTGGTGATAGCAGTTTAATCAGAATTGTAAGAAATAGAGGAAAATAAACACTGGAAAAATCGGTGGTACAGTGAACTCAGTTAAACTCAAACACCTTACTATTTAAAAAGAAGGACTCACATTTAATTTGTAGGAAGTCTATTCATCAATATTCATTTATAGAATGTTACCATGTGACAGGCATTTAAGATAAAAACTGTAGCAGCAACAGCAATAACAACAAACACAATACCCTTTTCTTCATTGTTTTTTATTTCCTTGTTGGCTTGATCTAACAAGCTAACTAAAAAAAAAAAAAATTTGATTCAAGTAGCATTTTTTAATTGACTAGAAATGTACACCTTTATGATATATCAACCATAATTGAATTTAGGATATTATCATTGTTACTAATTGAAAGTATTGTATGTCAACATGCAGAAGTTATCTTCCTTAATTTTCAGTCTCAGTCAAAACACCTCAAGTGACTCAATGTAAGCTTTCCTAGGATTTATTCCATAAATTCCTTAACATATACATATGTAAACCATAGGAGTGCATATCACTTTGTAATATACATGTTTTGCATAATTCATTGTCCCCATTTCTGAATGCTTTACTGTGACAGATTCTGAGAAGTAGAAATCTTGGGTCAAAAGCTATGGGTTGTTTAAGGCTCTTCATTCATACTGGAAACCTGCTTTCCCCAAATATATCATTACTGGGCTTTCAACAATAATAAATATTCATATTCATATAGTACATTGTTATTCTAATTTGATTCTAATCACCATTTCTTTCATTGCTGGCCAAGTAGAACATATTTTTATAAGTCCATTAGCCATTTTCATTTCTTTTTTTCTGAGGATTGTTTTTTCTTGTATTTGTGCTCATTATTTTTTGGTAGATAGGTGGGAATTAAGTACATTAACTCTACTTTTTATATAATTTGAAAATATTTTTCTCATTTTGTTGCTTGCTTTTACATTTTTATGTTTTTTTAAAATTTTGGTTTTTGTATTTTTGTTTTTGTTTTGTTTTTTGAGGCAGGGTCTTGCTCAAATTCTCAGGCTCAAGCAATCTACCTGCCTCAACCTCCCAAGCAGCTTGGACTATAAGCATGCACCACCATGCCCAGCTAATTATTTTTAATTTTTTTGTAGAGACACGGTTTCACTATGTTGTCCAGGCAGGCCTGGAACTCCTGGCCTCAAGCAATCCTATCACCTTGGTCTCCCCAAATGCTGTGATTATAGTCCTAAGCCACCAGCCTGATCCTATTTTTTTCCTTGTATAAAATAATTATATATTTATTGTAGAAAATTTGGAGAATACATACAATCACATAGAAGGGAATACAAATTACCTAAATCTCCCATAGATGGCTACTGCCAACATTTTTACTACGAATTTATCTAGTCTTTTATAATAGACTTAAATATAAAAATATACATGTTCTGTATTTAGGAAAACAGGACGATATTGTACATTTTGTTTATAACCAACTTTTACTTTTTACTAAATAATAGATAAGAAAATACTACAGTATTATTAAATATTCTTTTACAGCATGGTTTATGTAATGTATCTCCTTTGGGAGATTTTTGGTTGTTGGCAATTTTTGCCATAGTAAATAGAGATGCACATCCTGGTAAATAAATCCTTCTATTAGCAGTATTAAATTATAGAACTATAATTTCTTGTGAAAAAGGAGGCATTTTCTAAAGCTGCTGACGCATATAACCAATCTGCTCTCCAAAAAAATTTATACTGGTACAGTAGTTTAAGAAGATGCTATCTTCTCTATACTCCCAATAATACTTGGTATTTTTATTACAAACATCACCACCAGAAAATAGCTTTGCCAATATGTAAGTTAAAATCAGCATCTCTAGTGTTTTCCCTTTCCCTTGACATTCATTCTTCTAGTCATTCAACAAGTAATTATTGAGTACGACCATGGATAAGGCACAATGTTGAGTTCTGAGAAAACAGTAACTCTTTCCTTTCTGAATCATTATCCTCCCTTTCTTAAGTCAAAGAAAGTCTTGACGTGGGCTTTTCCTCTCATGTATCCAAGTATCTCAGGAATATACTGTATCTCTCCTATCTCAATTTTATCTACTCAGGACATTCTAGTTGTTTTCTATTCTCATATCGCCCCTACTTTAAGTGGTTGTTCCATCTGAGTGACTTTTTTTTTAATTTGACACATTTCTGATTTTTGTTGAGATCAGTGTATTGCAGAGGGTATGGACAAGCCAGTTAAACAATGAGCCTCTGGCGACTGGGCGTTGTAGAAAGAGGGTAGATTTTGCATCAGAAAGACCTCAGTTCTCACCCTTGCTGTGTAACCTTGGGGAAATTACTTAGTTGTCTCTTTTGTAAAGAGTGTCTTACAACACATCTCACAGAGTAGAAAGTTCTAAAAGGGTACCACCATCTGGTAGAATGATGAATTTTTGGTTCATTTCAGCCAAAGTTTGTTTGCTACTTGGTCTGTCCTCTTTCAACAGCCTTTTCTCTAGTTTTGCTTCCCTTTGTCTTCCAAGGCATCCTTAGCCTTCCCTAGTGGCCCTGGAAAAATCTCAATTTGGGATTACCAGTCTGTGCTTTCTTTCCTAAAGGATGTCTTATGTTATGACTCCATCTTCACCTTGTTCTTGCATAAAATCCTGTTCTCACTGGACCCTGTTTTCCATAGTGATTAACTAGTTTTCAGGAAAACTGTGAGTTTCTTAAGGGCAGAAAACATGTCCTGTATTTACTGTCCTTGCGTCCTTGATGCTTACCTAGCACAGTGTCTGGCAGAATGTGAGTCCTTGATGATTGGTGAATGACTACTCATCTAAACTTGGCTGTTAGGGGCTCATGTGTTAAGTCTCAATAACTTACATACTCTTAAGATATTCTTGAATGTTATTGTTTTCAGATATGAGGAACTCTATCGGTTCTGTGTATACACACACATATCTATAAAAACATATGTATAGATGTCTGTGGCTGACATGTGTGTATACATGTGTGTATATCCCATTTTGATGTCCTTTTTAAATTTCTTTACCTGAAGATATCCTATATACCTAAAGACTAAATCAAAACGTCATTGTCCCCGGAAGGCCTCTACAGGTCTCTGATGAAATAAATCACTCATTTCTCAATGCTCTCCAAGTACTTTGTCTATTTACTCCCATTGCCTTCTCCTTTGGTAGGCTCTAATCTCCTATTTATTTTTGGATTCTTAATGCCCAACATACTGAAAAAACATATTGAAAAACGTGTTCAATAATCATTTGGCTGAATGAGGCGGGAGGCTAGGCTTAATCATTCATGTGGCTTTAAGTTTTAGTTTGTATAAAGGAGAAGCCAGTTTACAATGATCTTAGAGGGCCAGATACAGTGGCTCACATCTATAGTCCCAGCACTCTGGGAGGCCGAGGCGGATTGCTTAAGGCCAGGAATTCAAGACCAGTCTGTGAAGCATGACAAGACCCCTGCCTCTAAAAAAATAAAATAAAATAAAAATAAAATGGCCACTGCACTCCAGCCCGGGCGACAGAGCGAGACTCCGTCTCAAAAAAAATAAAATAAAATAAAAAATAAAAAAAAATAAAATGAACATGAATTTAGAGGATAGTAAGTAAAAAGAGGTAATGTATAAAAATAGTGGTTAGGGAGATGAGGAAAGAGAATAGATTTTGATTGGTGGTTCTATAGGTTATAAATGTATGTATACGAGCCACCTTTCTCCCACTCCAGCTGCCTCTAATCTCTGACTGGTTCTATCAGGAAATCCACAAAAGGCAGCAAATTGCATGGAATTTACATTTTAGATAATGCTCTGCCCTTATAGACATACTACTTTCAATTGATGATTAAATTCCAGGAACCATGGCAGATCTAAGGGCAGATATTTATACCTTTAAAACACACGTGGAGACCTCTGCCTAAGAGTGACCCTGCAGAGACCAAGTCCATGGGCATTACTTCTTTAACACATTAAAGGAAATATGTGGGTAACTAGAGCTGCAATGGAAGGCAGAGGAGGAAATGAGGACCAGCTTCAGAACCAAATTGGCGATCTTGAAAATCTATCACTTCACCCTTGCAATAGCTCATAACTTTGTATTATAAGTAAATTTAATTATCATGCTTTTGATTCCACCTTTCAATCCAAGGATGATGTTCTTAAAACAGTTGGACTTTAATTTCATAAGCCTTTTAGGAGGTATTTAATCTTCTGAGAGAAATCTTTTGTACTTCTGAGAAATTTTCTTTTATCATATATGGCCTTAGACCATCACTGAGTCTGCAGGCTTTCCCCCACTCTTATTTCCATATTTTATACTGAATACCCATCTTCCACTTCTCAACCTTGAAACGCTAGACAAAACCACACTCAAGTTATCAGTGGAGGAAATTTACCTGAGGAAAATTCTCAGGAGCTCCATTAATTGATAGATGGACACTTCTGCATCTCCCCCAGCCCTCTGCCTGACTTCCTTACCCTGGGGTAAAAAAAAGAGTGAAAATAAGCACGATTGAAGAAAAAGGATTTAGGTTTGGGAAAATTTTTGTTTCTCTTAATAGTTCTGCTTTGATTCCAGGGAAAAGACTGAATGTCATTGTTTCAAATATGAAGAAATCTGTTGGTTTTCAATTTGCTACCAGTTATCCATCCATGTGTGGAATCAACATATATAGGAAAGCAAAGGAGTCTGATTTCTTAATTTTTAAAAAATAAAACAGATGAGACAGCAAGTGATATTCAATCCTATTAAAGAGACTAAGCACCGACCTTTAAAAAGTCCTTATGTTCTTTGCATTGGGATTGTGTGATATGGCTCCACAATTCAGGAGGACTGGAAATTACAGAACATCTGCAATGAAATTGGTTTTCTGTGAAAAACTGATGAATCACTTACTGCCAATGACTAGAAGGAAAAGCACTTGCTTATGCCCTTATGTAATGAATTTTTATGAGGTGAAGTTTGCTGTTTATAAAAAATACACTTTACGCGCTATAGATGTAAAATAATAGAATTCAGAATTCACAGCAATGCATTACTGTGAAGACAGTCACCAGCAGAATATTACCTGCTTACAAAACACCAAAACAGGGCTATTACTTCTATAATGGAATTTAAAAAAAAAAAAAAAAAACCTTCATCTACTCAGTTGGATTCTAGAAGAAAAAAGTATTTAAAGAGACATAGTTAAAATTGACAGGTCTGAAATTGCATGTACTTTCAAAGCAAAGTTATTAATTCTCTTATTGGGCTCTTGAATTCCAACTGTTTTTTTCTCAAAGCAAGAATGCTACAGGATATTTTTAATTAAAAATGGCTATCTTAAGATACACTACAAACCTGAAGTGTGGCCTTTCTACAACATCATAGACATGCATATAGAATTCTCCCTACACTAATACCATCAGCTACTCTGCTCAATCCTTGTGAACGGCTTGATGATCAAACTCCAAACTGTCTTGGTTTCTACAGACATTTACAGAGCATCTATATTGTGCCAGTCAGTTTTTGGCTGTAGTGCCACAAAAATGAGAAAGATACAGTCTCTGTCCTTACTGAGCTCAAAGGTTATTCTCCTGTTTGAGAGAGTCATCAAGTTGAAACTGAGAAAAATTCCACTAGGTCTGAGAAGGAAAACTAAGAAATAATGCTCACAATATTGGATGAGGATCCTTGCTCTTAATTTTTTTTTTTTTATCCCCTATATTTAGTCTAGAACTAAGTAGTTTTAAAGCAAGTAATTATAATTTCATTTAGTGAAAAAGAACTGAAGTATTTTATTATTTCTGGTGACTAGAAAGGCACTCTTACAAATTGGTGTGGATTTAAAATAGAGGCTGTCAGGAGAGGATGATATTTTCTGAGTGCATGGTGAGATATATTTACCAAGGAACCATTCTGAAAACCTCAAGAACAGTAAAGACTTAAGTTCCAATAATTCAGAATTACTTAATATATTTTCTTGAGACAGAGTCTTGCTCTGTCGTCAAGGCTGGAGTGCACTGGTGTGATATTGGCTCACTGCAACCTCCGCCTCCCAAGTTCAAGCGTTTTTCCTGCCTCAGCCTCCCAAGTAGCTGGGAATAAAGGTGTGCACCACGAGGGCCCAGCTAATTTTTGCATTTTTAGTAGAGATGGGGTTTTGCCATGTTGGCCAGGCTGGTCTTGAACTCCTGACCTCAGGTGATCCACCCACCTCCGCCTCCCAGAGTGCTGGGATTACAGTCGTGAGCCACCGCGCCTGGCCAACTGTGACTATTTATATTAGGTCTCAGTGGAGATTCAAGTTTGCACTGTCTCTTATTGGCAGCAAAACCATAACAATACTCAGAAATGTCAACATTTTTGTGTTGATATCTGGAAGAAACACAAAATCCTAGGTCAGACCCTGTATCTTAGATTCTTAGTTGTGGAAATATAGTGACTTTACAAGTTTAGGCAGTTGACAATATTCAATATTCATGTCACTTGTTCAGATCTGGTGTATTAGCTCTAGATTTTTAAAGTAACTAAAATACATTTTTGTTTTTATTTTTTATTTAGAAACACTGTACAAATATTTTGGAAAAGGAAGTAGGAACTTTTATTCCTTTTTGCCTACATACTTCTAAGTGATTAAAATGCACATATTACATGGAGTCAGATATTTAATATGTAATTTAAGACATATGAGATAATTCAGACTTTCTACAGTTGTGATTGGCTGTAAAGGCAGGCTTTATTTAATGCAAAAATAGGTACTATAGTAATTTAGAATCTTCTACCTCCTAAATTATCTCACATCAAAAGACTTGTTTACGAGTTGTGAAGATGGTTTATCTTTGGATTAACTGAAACAAAACTGGCCATGAGATTTTAAAGAAATAACCTGTTTTGGTCTTATTAAAAATAATTATATGCTCATTGTAGAAAACTTGGGAAATACAGAAAAACATAAAGAAGAAAATCAAAATTTGATTACCGAGAGGTATTTGTTGTTAGTAAGACATATTATGTGCCTATTTATCTCATTGGTGAGCTCATATTGTACTTAATTTAGTATCCTATTTATTTAATTTAGTATTACATTATGAGGACTTTCTCATGTAATTAAAAATATTCATAAATATTTCTGCATGAAATTCTTTCCTGTTGTATTTATATTGCATTACTGTAGTCAACTAAATTGCTACACTCTTTTATTTATTTCCCTATTGTTAAGCATTTATGTTGTTTCACATCTTTCTTTATTATGAATAGTCTGGCACTAAACATTACCATTTCCTTCAGATAGATCTCTTGAAGTAAATAAATATAAACATGTCCACATCCACCTGATTTTGAAAATCAGTTTTACTTAACTAAGTAGATATACAATTTATTGGTTCTGAGGTTTCAGCATAGACATAAGTTGAACCTGTTAATGAGAATGTATTATTCTGCTGCTAATGGGAAGGGAAGTGAACTAACTACAGAATACTACACTTAGGGATCTCCTGGCCTCAAGAGTGACTTCTCTCAACCTTGTTTGACTTTTTATAGTTTCCAGAATAACAACTCAATTCAGGATTAGGTAAAAGACATTATACAAAATGGTGCTTACTTTATTTTTTCCCAATATTTTAAAACCATAAGCTTTTTTTTTTTGGAAAAAAGGGGAAATAAGAGACTACTCGGAAACATGAAGGCATATTCTAATATTCTGTCTTGTTTCATGATTTACATACTCTTTGAAAGATAAAAGAAATAGATATAAAAAAAGTTGATTTTGCTCCCCTCAAGATGGGGGATTAGAGACTTTTAATACATCTCAGCCACCTGGAAATAGCAAGACAGTGCATAAAGACCAAATCTGTGAGCTTTAATTCAAAAAGGAAAATAGGAATCCATCAAAATTGTGAAGGACACCCCAGATTCTATCAGTGTCCAGCTGATAAAAATGAGTGACCCCCAGTATGTGAAAGAGGCAGAGGGCCTCCCTCTGAAACTCACCTTTCCACTGCAGATTCAAGAAACCCAGGCCAAGGGACAGCACTTTGTTTCTCCCAAAGCCAAGAGCTAATTTGGGGAGAGGCTTGGAGACTTTGTGAGGAAAAGACATTGGGAAAAGCTGCAGGTATTTTCGCACACCCAGGACTGAGAGTAGAATGCCATTTTTGATAAGGGTGCATACAAAGTCTCAGTCATTCTTTGGTGACCTAGCAGCACAGCCACGCACACATTGTAGTATCAGGCCAGAGACTGGAGCACTTGCTCTGGAGCAGAGTAGGGACTCCACAGCCAGAATTGTGGAAAGTGCCTCAGCAGTAGGTACTGGAATTGTGCTCTCCCCTGTTGCAGGCCTGAGGTGGGAGGAGATCTGGTACAGCTGCAGTTTCTCCTGGATGACAAGACTTGCAGCCAGGGCCAGCTTGGCAACCTGGAACTAGTCTGCCTGTGTTACCACTGGGTGTCCCTCCCTGCTCCCCTGAGATTGTGGTGCAGTGGGGCCTGTTACACTCTACCCCCAGGCAAAAATCTAGGCATCTGGAGCACCTACTTGCCTGGACCAGTAGCTTGGCTACTCCATCCTTCATGGATGTAGATTATGGTGGAATAGGGCCCTTTCTGCTCCATCCCCAGGCAGATCTCCAGCTATTCAGAGCACTCCCTTGCCTGAATCAAGAGCCTGAGCTGTCCCACCCTTCCAATGCATAGATCATGGTGTCGGGGGTAGTGGTGGGGGCCATGTTAATATACAGGCAGATCTCCAGAGATTAGGAGCACATGCTCCCCTTGTTCAGCAGCTTAAACTTCCTCATGCTTTCTAGGCAAAGATCATGATACAGTGGGGCCCTCTCTGCTCCACATATAGGCAGATCCCCAGGCATGTGGAGTATCTGCTCACCTGGACCAGCAGCCTGAGCTGGCCCACTTCTCCTGGGCAGAGATTCTGGTACAGTGAGGCCCTCTCTGCTCCCTACCCAAGCAGATCTCCACTCATGGATAGGGAGTTTAGGCTGCCCCTATGCCCTGTGCAGAGAACCTGGAGCTGAGAAAGTTTCCCAGCTCTATGCCTAGGCATGCCTCTGGGCACTTGGTGACTCCTCAATGGATTCTCCCTTGGCACTTCTGCATGTGCATGCCATCAAGGGGCCTGCAGGCAGACCTGTCTACTCCAGCCCTGCCCATCTTGGCCCCCACCCCATTGGGGCTAAGGAGGGAACTCAGATACCTGTGTACTCTGTGAATAAGCCCATTGCCTGAGGCAACAGAGCTTCTCCAGTATACAATGATCAAGTATATATCCAGCTGTGTTGGCCCAAACTGGCTCTTACCCATGAGCACTATCCACTGGCTCTTAGGTTGAACTGCACAGCCCAATATAAAACCTGACGACAGAAGTGCCTATTAGGGCAATAGAAGTAAAGCCAGAAGATCCTATACAGCATTCTTTACAGTGATACCACTTAGGGAGAGTGGGAAAGGGAAAGTGGGGAAAAAAAAAATTATAGGGCAAGAAAGAAAAAGAAAAAATCCTACCCCCACACAAATAACTACAAAAATTAGAAACACCAATGTCTCCAGATGAGAAGGAAACAGCAAAAGAATTCTGGCACCATAAAAAAAAAAAATCCAAATGCAGTGACATCACCAACATTCTCTCTCCAGCAATGGTCCCTAACCAAAATGGAAACTCAGTAATGACAGATAAAAAATTCAAAGCATGATAGGATCAAAACCTCACATACAGATATTAACCTTAAATGTAAATGGTCTAAACACCCTACTTAAATGGCACAGAGTGGCAAGCTGGATAGAAAAAAAAACATCCATCTGTTGTCTTCAAGAGATCCATCTCACATATAACAATACCCATAGGCTCAAAGTCAAGGGTTAGAGAAGATCTATCATACAAGTAGAAGAGAAAAAAGACCAGGGGTTGCTATTCTTATATCAGATAAAACAGACTTTAAACAAACAATAGTAAAAAAAAGACAAAGAAGGTTATTACATAGTGATAAAGGGTTCAATTCAACAAGAAAACTTAACTATCCTAAATATATACAAACCCACCATTGGAGCAACCTGATTCATAAATCAAGTATTTCTAGACTTCTATAAAGATGCAAACAGCCACCCAATAATAGTGAGAAATTTTTAACACCCCACTGACGGCATCAGATCATTGAGGAAGAAAACTAACAAAGAAATTCTGGACTTAAATAACCAATAGAACCTCATAGACATCTACAGAATACGCCACCTATCAACTACAGATATACATTCTTTGTTAACTGTGACAGAACACACTCCAAGATTGACCATATGTGCAGCCATAAAGCAAGTCTGAATAAATTAAAAAAAAAAATCAGTATAATACCACCAATCACACTCTTGGACCACAGTTGACTAAAAAGAGAACTCAATACCAAAATGATCTCTCAAAACCACACAATTACATTACATAACTTGGAAATTAAACAACTTGCTTCTGAATAACTTTTGCATGAACAACAAAATTAAGACAGAAATAAAAAACTTCATTGAAATAAATGAAAACAGAGACGTATCATGCCAAAATATTTGGGATGCTGCAAAAGCCTAGTTAAGAGGAAAGTTTATAGTGCTAAATGTCTACCTTAAAAAGTTAGAAAAATCTCAGATTAACAATCTAACATCAAAACTAGAGGAACTAGAAAAACAAGAACAAATTAACCCCAAAGCTAGCAGAAGAAAAGAAATAACTAAAATTAAAGTGAAAATGAAACTGAGACTCAAAAATCCATACAAGGAATCAATGAAACCAAAAGTTAGATACCTGAAAGGATAAACAAGATTGATAGGCTGCTAGCTAGATTAACAGCCTGCCTCTGTCTCTCTCTGAGAAAGATCCAAATAAGTATAACCAGAAATGACAAAGGGACATTACAACCCATCCTACACAAATACAAAAGATTCTCAGAGACTACTATGAAAAACTGCACACAAACTACAAAATCTAGAGAAAAGGGTTAAATTCCTGGAAACATGCAGTCTCCCAAGATTGAATAAGGAAGAAATTGAAGCTGTGAACAG